ACAACAACAAGACAATAACAACAAAAATAAAACCCCAGGAAAATAACCAACGATCTTCAGGGGTAAACTTTCCTGCTCAGGGGTGCACGCTGACTCTAGACCATCTCTCGGCTTCTGCGGATAGCACAGCACAGGATCATACTGAAGATCATGCCAAAGATCTGGAAGACAGGGAGGAATAGGAGGAACAAAGTGGCTTTGCTGAGGGAAAGACATGAGTCATTCAGGCCAAGACAAAGGACTATGAGAATCAGAGGCCAAATGAATTAAATATCAAAGCAGGGGCGTGTAGGCTAGATAATGGGAGGGATCACTGACAGGTGGGATTCTGAGTGTCTGCAGCCACTTGCTAATGCAAGTAACTTCCCTGGAGAACTTTCAGGGTGAGACAGATACACTCAGAGCTAAATTAAATGCTCAAATTCAGATATTTCCATAGTCCACACAGGCTGGAACTTTCACTTCCACCTTTGTGTTTTTGTGAGTTTTATATTCTATTTTAAAAAGTATGGTTATCTCTTTTACTGAAAGCTGTGCCAAGCTCTTCTAGATGCAGATGAGAGGTACGAATAACCACTTAGAAAGGAAGCAATTCTCTCTTTTGGGGTAGTCTTGTGAGGGGCAGACAAGGGCTGTGCCCCTTGAAGAGTTCTCATAACCCCCTCCTGGGGGAAGAAGGGGAAACCCCAGGGAACCTCGTCAACCCTTGATGGTTCCTGGGAGCTGATTACTAGAGAGTAGATTATTTGACGCGTTGGGCTGTCCACTCTGGATGCCTTTCAGACTATAGAGGGAGATGAAACAATTCACATCCATGTAGCTTTCATTGAACTACTTTTTGGGGGGGGGGGCGGGGGAAGAAGAGCAGGTGCATGATGAAAACATGTTTCAAAGATCATCCCAGGATAACTAACAGGTCTGGGGTGATCCAGACCCTTGCACAGTCTGTGGACCAGCAGCAGTGGCTTCACCTTACACTTACCCCTGAACCTTAATGGTTAAGAGAATGGATTTGAACACTGAGTTCAAATCCCAGAAGCTTCACTCATGAGCTCAGAGACTTTGATCAACTTATTCAACCTCTCTGTCTCTCCGTTCCCTAGTCTCTAAAATGGGAATGCTAAGAGTTCCACCTCATAGGTATGGTGAGGATTCAATCAGCTGATAAATGTGTAGCACTTAAGATAGTGCCTGGCCAGAGCATACCCTTAATCAATGTTAACTACTAAGAGGACCCCCTCCTACCCCCCACCCCGATGTCCAGGACACTCACCATCACCACGGCGATCCCGATGCCCACGGCGCCGATGATGTGGAACTTGTTGTGGAAGACCTCTTTGATGGCCTCAGGGCAGGGCTTAGAGGGGCAAACCAAGACCCTGGTCACACACGATCCCTGCTCACACCTACTTCCTCCCACAATACCCGTTTCACACCCAGAGCATTGGTGGTTCCAGGGAAAGGGGAGGGGACAGGAGGGTTCAGGTGTCTTGGTTGGTGCATAGAAAGGAGAACCAAGAGAGGAATAGGAGGTGGGTCCCACATATTTGGATAAGAAATCATAGAAGAAAGAGGGGTAAGCCCCTGCTTTGGGTCTATTTCTTATCTGGGTTACATCTTATCATTCTGCAGTTTGGACATGAGCTCTAGTTTACAATCTTGAGCCATTTACAGGTCTACAAAGCCAATGTCCTTGACTCAGAGCACACCTGTCCCTGATGCCTTGAGTGCTGGGGGAGGCAGAACAAGGGGCAGCACTGGGCAGTTCCAGCTGCCAAATCATTGCAGGCAGCTAGAAGCACTTTGCTATTTCCCTGGTCTGGCTGTTGTTTTGCTGCCCTTGGGGACACAGAAGGCGCCAAGGCAGTGGAGAAATGAGGTGACCACCCTGGGATGTTGCAGGTGGAAGACATATTTGTGAAGCACTTAGATGCCTGTCCTCCCAGAACGAGAGGGCAAATTTCACTTCTACCCTTATGGGATTTGCCCAGAGCAAGTGGGCAGGGGCACTTGCTCTTCACGTTTACCTTCACTGTGATGCTTGTGAGTATATCCTTTTCGGGGCAGATGTCCGAGATGAATTGTTCCACTCCCCCTACTATACCACAGCAATCCAACTGCAGAGAGAAGAGCAGGGATGGGGGTGAGAGAAACAAACACAAAAGTGACTGAAATAGAGACGCACTGGTCTGGGACAGCAAGTGCCCGTGTGCACATGCTCTGAGGATGCAAAGACGACATACCGCATAGTGGATGGCTTTCAGCGTTTCCCGCTGGGGCTCGTCCTTGTTTTTCAGCTTGAGGTAGGTGTCCGTGTAAAATTTCTGGAGTTCCTTAATCACCTGTGATGGACCAACAGATGAGAGAGCAGCAGAACAAATGAACAAATGTCACCTGTCCCGTCTTCTTCACACTCAGCCAACAAATTCCCGTGCTCGGGAAATGCTACCGAGCAGACCGCCCCCATCCCCACGCCCCCACTTCCCCTCTGCCATCTCTGGGACCCCTCGCTCTCCTCCCACATCCTCTAGGAACTCTGCTCCCGTCATTCCCCCTTCTCCTGCACCTATGGTTGGTCCCTTCGGTCCCACTTGGCCCCTTCCCTTCTATCTATGAACAAAATGTTATCTCCTCAACTTAAATTAAAAAACAAAAACAAAACAGAACTCCTGATCTGGCTAGCTCCTCAGGCTTCCGTCTTCCTGTTTTCTTCACTCAGAGGCTGTGTGACTTTTGGCAAATTAACCAAGCCCCTCGGAACCTCACTTTCTGCATCTTTAGGATGGAAAGTATATTAATCCCTACCCGAGAGATTACGGTGAAAATTTCAATGTGACATTACATGTTAAGCTCTTAGCACAGTGTCTGGTACAAAGTAAATTTGGGGAATAAGTATTACCTATTATGAAAGAAAGGAGATGTTACCATCCTCCCGTAACTGGGTTTGTTCCAACTTAATGGATGCCTGTCTCTTGGTCCCCCCACACCCACAATATCAATAAGCTGACCAACATCCAGCCTTCCTCCTTCAGTATTTTTCATCGTTATCCCTTCCTATTTCCATGACTGTGGCTTCTATCATCTGAATAATGAAATCATTTTTTTTTTTTTTTAAAACAGGGTTCCCGCATCTAGTGTCTCTTTGCTTTCCTTCCTCCTGCTCAACATGACAGCACAGTCCTTCCTAAAACATTGTTCTGATGTGGCCATCCTGGCCCATAATGCATTGGTCTCCCCATGGAGCCCAAGCTCAGCTGTGCTCAGGCCCTTTCTTTGCAGGGAAGTACCCTGTCTCCCACCAACGTTCCTCCTGAAATCTCTCTCACTCAAGGTTTAGGCCAATGCTCTCCTCTCCAGGAAGCCAGAGAGTCCCCTTTCCTACCCCACCCTTTCAAATCCCAGGGGACTTTTGGATTTAAGTGACTTCTGTGACACTTACCAAATGCATGTCTGTCTGCCACAGTAGGTGGCAAAGGTCCTTAAGATGAGAGCAACAGTTTGTGCGGCGCTTGGCTCATATTTATAGACTAGGTAAAGGAGCAAGGGCATCCAGCCCAGAAGGCATGATTCCCTAAGCCAGTGGTTCTCAACCTTCTGGCCCTTTAAATACAGTTCCTCATGTTGTGACCCAACCATAAAATTATTTTTGTTGCTAATTCATAACTGTAATGTTGCTACTGTTATGAATGGTAATGTAAATATCTGATATGCAGGATGGTCTTAGGTGACCCCTGTGAAAGGGTCGTTCGACCGCCAAAGGGGTCGCGACCCACAGGCTGAGAACCGCTGCCCTAAGCTGTCTTTTCCAGAAGAACTGGGGAAAGGCTGCCGAGGTGTGAGACACATGCACAGATACGCTGGCCCAATGACTATTTCCTGAACATCTACTCTGTGCCAACACTGTTTGGGGAACTGGAAGCAGTGGTTGGCACAGTACCACCCAGGGTACTATAACGCTCACATTCCCTGCCCTGGGGAAGCTCACGTTCTGAGGGCATGTGGGAACGTGGTGGAATAAGAGGCGCGATGACAGCTGACCAAGCTGGGCAGCCAGGACACCCTTCTGCCCGCATCACCCCTCATCTGCAAACTCCCAAACCCGAATCACCGGAGGCCCCGAGATCTTACAGAAAGCACCTACCTCATCTTTGTGCGAATATCCCCAGACGGCCGCAGCTATTTCAAGGGCAAATATCACCAAGAGGAACATAAAGAACTAGAAGGTAAAAAGGGGGGTGGGGCGAGGAACAATCTTAGCCAACCAGAAAAGTAAAGGGTATTCTGGCAAACAAGGAGGAATAGCAATTCTCTGGGACCGGGTATCTGGGGACACAAATGGAGCCGTTCCCAGAAGTGGGGAAGCTGAGAGAGCTAAGCCCAGGCGAGGAGCGAAAGCCGCAGCAGGGAAGGCCTAGGCACAGGGGGCCCCAGCAATGGTATTTCTAAGGAGTTAATTAGGAGCCAGTCAACGATAAAATACCACTGCTCACTCACAAAACCACAGAGATTTGAGGAAATAAAGTGAGAACACTCTGGAGTTTGAGGAAAATTGTAACAAGTTTTTGAAAAAAGAGACGGCACAGGTACCTGTGGATTCAGGGAAAGAAAGCAAACGTGGCCCTCGAAAAAAGGGAAAACAAAGTCCTGGCATTTAGTCACCTGAGGGAAAGTGATAAGATAGACTCCAGAGAGGAAGAGAGGGAGGCATCACCACAGGGGAGAGGACAAGACAGCTGCCTGGCCAGGAGGCTGGGGTAGGGCCCTGAGCGGAGGGACCCTGGGGGTGCTGAGGACAGCTCATGCCCTTGGGGTATCCTATTCACCCTCCCCTCCCCCCACCCCCTCTACGGGGGCAGGGGTGGGGTGGGTGTGGGGAACACAGAAAGGATACTCACCAATCCCAGCATGCACTGGGACTCTTGCACAGCCCCACAGCAGCCCAGGAAACCCACCAGCATCATGAGGGCGCCGGCTCCAATCAGAATATAAACTCCTGAGGAGAGAGGACAGAGGACAGGACATGGAGATATTAGCGTGGAGGCCCAGCTGTTTCCTGCAATTCCGTTTTCCCTCGATATGACTGTGCTGCCTCCATCTCTCTGTCCCCCTCCACCTTTGCTCTCAAGCTTCCTTCCCACCAGTCTCTCTTCCAGGACCCCATGGCATCAAGTCCTCACTCCTACCTTACCCTCAGCCTTCCTGGAGGGTGCCTATACCCCGTAACTGGGACAAAGACTATCCCTGGGAGCCCCAGATTCTACGAAGGACACAAACTGGCCTAGTCTGTCACCTGTTTCCAGCTAGATGAATCCACTTACACTAATGAAAACAGACCCCCCAAACTCAGGGTAAATTCCTGGGACTCTGATGAGCCCCTGTCAGCCTCTACCTGGCAGAAGAGGCTGTCAGGGCAAGCTTCCAGCAGCAAAGGGCTGTGCACACTGGGGCAGCCGGCCCTGCCATGGGTGGCAGCGAGGCATGCACAGTTAGTGACACCCAAGGGCACATGCTGGCAAAGGTAGAGCAGCTTGCTCTAGTGCAGAGAAGATAGGCCTGGTGTCAGGAGACCCTTGACTGGGTCCTAACTCTGCTACTAAGTTCTGTGTGATCATGGGTAAGACATGTTCCCTCTCTTGGCCGCAACTTCCTTATCAGTAAAATGAGAGGTTGGCTGCTAGGAAATTTAAAAAAGATCCTGCTCTTAGAGCACACTACAGAGATCTTGCGGTTGCAATTCGGTTACTCTAGGTCAGCCGTGGGCAAACTACGGCCCGCGGGCCGGATTCGGCCCGTTTGAAATGAATAAAACTAAAAAAAAAAAAAAAAGACCGTACCCTTTTATGTAATGATGTTTACTTTGAATTTATATTAGTTCACACAAACACTCCATCCATGCTTTTGTTCCGGCCCTCCGGTCCAGTTTAAGAACCCATTGTGGCCCTCGAGTCAAAAAGTTTGCCCACCCCTGCTCTAGGTGAAGGGTGAAAAGGCTCTATCCTCTTGTTAAAGGGGGGGTTTGAGTGACACGTTCTAAGCCTTCAATTTTTGTGACCAATGGAGAGGGGGTGATGAGAAGGGCAGTGCCTTTTACAATTTCTGACTATGCCCAACAAAAGGTATATTCCTGGGATGGGGACCCGGTGGAGCATACTAGCCCTAGTCACCCCCCGGGAATGCCCAGAGGGGCCCAGGTTGCAGTTATATTCTGGAGAAGTCACAGCGGTTCTGCAGGGACTACCCTACCCCCCTCACGCAGGCCCCATGGGGCATTTCTACCTCAGAAGCCCAGGAAGACTGGGTTTGAAATCCAGCTCTTTGACCCTGGGAATGCCACCTAATGTCTCTGAGCATCACTTCTCTATCTGCAAAGTGGGGATGGTAATGTCCACCACGAGGTGGTTGTGAAGATTAAGTGACATGTCATCAAGATGTGCACAACAAATTCAAGCTACTGCTAATCTTAAGAATACAAAGGATGGGTGACAATTATGAATCATAATGGTGAATTTTTATATACTTGCTGATCCCTCCCTGCTAACTGGGACCAGGGCGACTTTCTTGAAATAGGGGCTGAAAGGGAGAGAATCTGATATTTCCACACAATACACAACAGGACACTGCAGTGAGAACCCTGGGCAGGTGTCTGTGACTTCACTGGTCCACATCTGGACCCCTAGTACGGGGCCGAGGCTTTGCAGGCCACAAACCGTGCAGTCTGCCTGCAGCTGAAGCTCACGGGCAGCACCGAGCAGAATGCACACAAGGGCGCGTTTGTGTCTCTGCCCCCTTTGCCCCACATCTGTCGTGATGTCAAGTCACGTGGGTTTACTGGCAAACCCCTACGCTGTATGAATATGGGTATTGTTCCCGTGCATGCCTGGCTCAGACTGGGCAAGGGGACAAATGCAGCTTGTCCTTGAGTCAAGTCCCATCCTCCCGGGCAGTTCCATACTGCGGGGCCCAAGCCCCGGGCGCTGCGGAGGAGGGCTGTGACACGAGGACACCCGTGCGTCCGTCCGTCGAGGCAGTGACACGGCCTCAGCTTCTCCCCATCTTATCGGGACAAGACGAGGAGGAGTCACTCCTCTGAGCTCCATAGCAGGGACTGAGTAAATAGGGGTTATTAAGAGATCTAAAGGATTTACAAACACACGAAATCCGTTGAGTGGGAATGAACAGACAGGCATGTTTTCTCTAAGTCCAGATCCCAGTTGGTAGGCCTGGAGACCCTGGCAGAAGTCGGGGAGTTGGGTGAGTAGCATTAGGGAGCTGTGATAGGGAAAAGCATTTCCAGTGCAGATAGATAGATAGATAGATAGAGAGAGAAAGAAAGAATAGTCTCCTAATGGGCCTCCGTTAATAAGAAATATTCATTCTTGGGCTTAGTGGATGAAGACTTTAGGACAAAGGCTGCTGTTGGCTTTAAAGCTTGCTCAAGCAGCTGCATATCTGGGGTGTCTCGGCTTCACCCTCTCCAGTTCCCTGGCAGCTGTTTATGGGGATTTTAGCAGCAGCTATAAGCTGGCTCATCTGCAAGCGCCCCCTCTGGAAGTCAGGGGAGTGGGCTGCTGTTAAAAGGGCCATCCCTGCAGGGATCCTCCTTGCTAAGCTCCTCTTAGCCTCCACCCCAGCTCGTTAGCAAGGGCTGGCCATCCAGATAACAAAGCGTTCTCCTTTATGAAACAAATGAATGTGGGCTTTCCATCTGACTCATGGAAAAAGTTATTTGTCACAGAGCCTTCTCTAGGATTACTGTGTCAGTTTGCTCAAGGGCTGTTTATTCTGCTTTTTTTTTTTTTCAGGCTGACATTATAGCTGCTAGTGTTTAAAAAAGCCCTTGGTGTAGCAGTGGCAGATGCTAGGGTGTCCTTTCACCTGTTTATCAGGGCTCGGCGCTGGCTGGACAGAGGACACATCAGCCTCCTGTCACCACCTCAACCCCATCTTGCAAAAAGCACTCACCATACCTGTTTGTGTGGAGAACAAAACCCAGCAGAGCTCCTGGCCTCCACTTGCTTAGAACAGTTGCTTATCTCCAATTAACATAATCAGGGTTCCCAGGAACCCCAACAGCTCTCTCGGTCCCTCTCCATCCCACTGATGGTCGTTTTCATTAGTGAGCACCACTGCGAACCCCATCTGCCAAGCACAGAGTTCTCTGCCTCCCAGAGGTGTGGGTGTGTATACTCTGCCAGTTTTAGGACAGGAAGACGAAGAGACACAGAGCAACAAAACAAGCTGCCCCAAGTCAGAAGCTGGGAACAGGGAAGTCAGCTGACGTAGGCAATGCGTCAGGTACCCTGTCACAAAAGGGGAACGGCCCTTGAGAGTGTGGATGCCCACGGCCTCTGGTTCACCAATCCCCCCTCTGCCCGCCAGATGCCCTCACAGTGGCTATGCTCTGGGAGGACACCAAGGAGTTAAGAAGGGCTGCTGGCCTGAGACCAAGAAAATGAAGTTCCCCAGCATGTTTGCAGCCTGGGATCACGAATACTGCTGACGGGCTGACTCTCCCAGGGCCTGAACAGCAGACAAGGCCCTTATAAGGCCGTCTGTCAGCTGTTCTGCTTCACTACGGCCTGTTTTGAGTGTTGGAACGTTTCTTTTTCACTTGCTTCTCTGCCTGGCTATCCATTCTTTCTCTACTTTCAAAGCTGTGGTCCTTCAGATTTCCTGATGGGCCAGCTATATGGTCAGGCTGGCCTGTGGATTGCTCTGCAGATGGTCAGTGCCCCTGGGCAAGGGATGGTCACCTCCTGATGCTGGGAATAGCAGCTGGGGTAGAGCTGGCACGCTGCTGGAAGAGGGCAATGGGTCAATACCAAGGCTGGTGTCACAGTCCAAGTGGAAGGGGACACAGTGTATGAGGCCTCCTTAGCTCTTTGCCCATGGACCATGACTGAATTTCAGAAAGCATTCAGGGAAGGGCAGGGCCAGGCTAGACCCAAGTGGCCACCCCAGCCGACTGATGCTCTGGTGTCACTTGCATCACCCTTTGCTCCCTGAGCTTCTGCAAGCTGAGCTCTTTCCCAGGCAGGGGGTCCAGTTGCAAAGGGTCCATTTCCTCTGTTAGAGCTTAAGGCTGTGTTAATGCAAAAAACCCCCACATGCATTGTGTCTCTTTGGGATTGTGCCTTCCAATCCCTATCCTAGTCACTGAAGGTAGGACCAGTGGCCATGGGGGGTGGGAGGTGGGGAGGACCTTCAATGACCTGTGAGGTTCCCAGAAGCAGGTCCTGGCTCCCCCAGACAGTGTGCTCATCACTCTCCTGACACTCTACACGACTTTCCCACCTGTCATCTGCTGGCTGGGGCCATCGATACTTGCGGTTTCCCCCCCTCCAACTACAATTTGGGCGAAATCAAAGGCCCAAAGAGCCCCCACCCTGCCCCCACCCCTGGGTAACATCCGGTCAGTATAGATATTTCCCATTCCTACATAGGGGAGGCCTCCCCACAATCCAGTACAGGTAATACAAGAAGCAACTTTCACAGGACTGGGTTCAAATCCTAGCCCTGCCTTTTGAGGGTATGGCGCTCGGACAGGTTATTAACTCCCGAGGCCTCGGTTTCTTCATCAGTGAGATGGGGATCACTCCAGGTACGGTAAAGAGTTCCCGGGATTACAGTACATAACCACACGTGAGACAGTGAAGGACACACAGAGAAGGGTTAGTGGGAGAGTGTGGGAGCTAGGCCCCCTGCAGAGAACTATGGGAGGTGCCTGGGGGCGCTCCTCAGGAGGACCTGCCTGGAATGGCTGCCCCCGCCTCCACATTCCTCCAGCAAATCTGCTCTCCCCTCTCCCTGCAGAGGGTTCCCAGCAGCCTGGTGTGACATGACATGACATGACATGACATGACAGGAAATGGAGTGCTCCCGGTCTCCCCCCAGCACCCCGCACCCGCCCCTGCCCCTCTAGTTCTGTAGGCGGCATTCCAGGGCTGCCACAAACTCACAAAAAGCAAGCTGTTGCTAAAACAAGTCGGGGCACTATGGAGACCTGCTCCCTAAAAACTGTGCGCAGTTTAAAAATGCTCACATGCATTGTGCTTTTCTTCCCCTCACTTTTTTCTCACAACAGGGAGGCACACCCTAAAAAACCCAACTAACGACAACAACAAAAAATAATAAAAGCCTGGAAACCATCCACAGAGCCCGGGGCCCTGGAACCATGTGCCTGGCCTCTGGGAGGCGGGGAGGAGGTTTGCAGGCTGGCAGCCACCACGCTCTTCCTGAAGGCCTGGGCGATAAGTTTCTTCAGACTGTTTTCTTCATCTTTTTTTTTTTTTTTTTAAATAACTTCTTTTGTGGGTGGGAAGGAAGTGACCAAACTTATACTTTGAGCCTGATGATGTGACAACACCATCCTAAAAATAGGGGAAATAGGGGCTGCTTTTGTTTCTTGCAAATGAAATGTTTCCTATTCTGAAATTGAGCAGAAAGTAGAGTAGCAGAGCCTGTGTCGTCCCAGAAACTGGGCAATTGCGTTTGACAGGCTCCCTCAATGCTCCCACTCATTTTAGAGAGGCGTTTACGTGGCGATACGATGGTGAAAAGTGACAGAATGATGCTAGAAAAAATGCCACGGAGCCTGTGGGTACAAAGAAACCCGTTAATTCTTTTTTTTTTTTTTTAATGTATTTTTATTGATTTCAGAGAGGAAGGGAGAGGGAGAGAGAAACAGAAACATCAACAATGAGAGAGAATCATTGATCGCTGCCTCCCATACGTCCCCCACTGGGGATCGAGCCCGCAACCCGGGCATGTGCCCCTGACTGGAATCGAACCTGGGACCCTTCAGTCCGCAGGCTGACGCACCATCCACTGAGCCAAACCAGCCAGGGCATGTTAAGTCAATTCTTGCTTAAATTGGAAACCTTTTCCCTAAAGCAGGAATGCTTGGCCTTTACACCAGCACCAGGGGTCCAGAGGGCTAGCGTCTCTGCTAGTCTCTCTTACTAATTTTGACTGTTATTATCCAGGAGGCAGGTCTTTGGGGTCTCAGAGCCCCTATCTGAACAATTGGGGAGGAGTCACCTCTCCTTTGCCTGGCACTGTGGATTCCGCAGGACAAAGCTTTTTGAATTGAGGAGATGATTAAGCCAGAAGACATGAAACGAAGAGGGGATCAGGATCCAGGACAGAGGTTCTTTCTTTTTTTGTGTGTTAATCCTCACTTGAGGATATTTTTTCCATTGATTTTCAGAGAGAGTGGAAGGGAGTAGGGGAGAGAAACATCAATGTGAGAGAGACACATCGATTGTTTGCTTCCCA